AATACCGGGCACTCCCCCCCCCCCTTCCATACCGGGCAATTTTCCCCTTCCTGCCCCAGGCCAGTGTTCAGGTTTCAGAGCTGGACACACTTTGAATGACAATTGCGCGGTCATACAACATTGTACCCAAACTAAAATTTTATCCATTTTCTTCACACAATAGAGCTTTCTTTTGACGGTATTTTAATCACCGCTGGGATTTTTTATTTTATGCTAAATTAAACAAAAAAAGACCAAAAATTTTGAAAAAAAAAAAACACGTTTTTCTTTGTTTCTGCTTATAAAAGTTTACAAATAAATATAATTGTTCTTCATACATTTAGGCCCGAGATGTATTCTGTACATGTCTTTGGTGAAAATACCCCAAATTAGGATGTATTATTTAGTTTGTAGGAAAGTTATAGAGTTTCACAAACTATGGTATAGATCTGATTATTGGATCAATCCTGAAGTTCTGACGGCAATCTAATTTCTTGAGGTCCAAGAATGACCCCTTTTTGCAGAGTAGACAGTCCGACGTACTTCATAAGACGGCATGGCGGAGTTTTTTTGAAGTTGTATTTTTTTGTCATAATTTTTCGGGAAAATGAAAAAAATTAAAAAAATTATTTTCACTATTTTTTTTTTTACATACTGTCACCAGTGCAGTACAGCGTCATCATATAACTGGCATGGCGGTGAACAGGGACACTGACTGGTGACAGTATGAAAAAAAAAATATATATATATTTTTTTTATTTTTATATTTATTTTAAATAATTTTTTATTACATTTTTTTATTTTTTTTTTTAAGATTTTTTTTTTCTTATTTTTACTATGACCAAAGTAGTACAATGTTACCATAGTAACATTGTACTACTTTGGGGAAGTGATTCAGTATTTTTTTTTTTTACACAATTTGCTTATAGCAAAGAATTACTTTGCTATAAGCAAGCATTTACCTGAATGAAATCGATTCATTCAGGTTTTTTTTTTTTTTTTTGTGCTTAGCTGTGATTTGGTCACAGCTAATCACATGACATGTGCATGTGATCGCTGTGACCATTCACAGCTAGGCACTAGTATACAATGGATGGCATGAATGAAGCCATCCATTGTATACAACTGTCATGTGACCTGCTGTGATTGGTCACAGCAGGTCACATGGTACCAGCAACGGGGGCCGGTACTCAGATCTGTCATCGGCCGTGTCCGAGGTACACGGCCGGTGACAGGTCGCGCCGCTGTGCGGCTCTGCATTAGCGCAAACTGCGCATGTGCGGGAGCACGCCAAATGGCGTGCACCCGGAATGCCGAAGCACTTTTGAAGCCGCCAAACGGCCATTGGCCGAGCGGCTAATGGTTAAATGAAGTGTTTTTGGCCGTGTGTAGCAATCCGAGTGTCAGCTAATGGGTAGTAATGCCAAACCACAAAAAACAAAATGTTTTTCACAGTCCAGCTTTAGAGTCTATGATGTGTCCAGGACTCCAGCACGGGATTTGTTGTACATCGAAGATCCCGGTCAGGTTTGTTCCATAAATATTACAGATTCAGTTAATAAAAAGCTTGTTCCATCTTCTCCATAAATTGGGTTTATCTCCTGAAAATGAACACACGTGTTATTTGTTAAAGTCTCTTGTAACAGAACAGGGTACAAATAGATCTGGTAATCTGGATGGAGGCGTTTGTGTTTTTTTATTACTGCGCCATTTCTTGTCTGTATTGGCCTAAAGGTGCCTGCTATCCTCTGCTTGTCAATAGTACAATAGTGTTCACCTATTGAAAGACTATACGAGGGGCGTTCAAGTCAAACTGGGACTTTTGAGTTTATATAATAAAAGAACAAATTTAATGGAGTGGAAACTGCATTTATTTTTTTTAAATACTCCCCTGCTACATTTATCCCAGCGTGTAACTAATGCCTTGACAGCTTCAGCATAGAAAAATTTGTCAGCGTGACCCATCCTATTATATCCGGCTTCAGTTCCTCATCATTACGTTGACCGTTCCCACAGAAAGATTCGTCTCTTGTGCAATTTCAAGATCGATGATCCAGGACCAGGCGTTCCATGTGCTGAATGTTCACAAGAACGACTGTTGTGGGCTGGGAACCACCAAGCCTGGGATCGTCACTGATGGACGGATGGCCATCTTTGAAGCATTTACACCATTCAAACATCTTACTGCGTCTGAGGGTCTCATCATCATACTGTGCCTGAAGTTTACGCCTTTGTTCACAAGAATCACCACACGCTGTTCCATGCACGCACTAACACTGTTGTCCGCCATCTTGATTAACGCTCTCTGGACTGGCCCACGACATGTTACGCCACCTATCAGTAATAGGACACACTTGCCACTAAGTACTACTTGTAATACCGCCACACTAGCATCCCTTTTAATACCTGGAAAATGAAAAGTCCTGGTTTGACGTCAATGCCCTTCGTAATAAGTGAGCAAATTTTTTTTTTTTTGTTAACCACTTCAATACCGGGCACTTTTACCCCCTTCCTGCCCAGGCCAATTTTCAGCTATCAGCACTCTCACTCTTTGAATGACAATCGTGCGGTCATGCAACACTACCCATAAGAAATGGATTGGTTTAAAGCAGTTTTTCTTCATTTCTATTAAAAATTTTGCAAATGAATAAGCTTTCTTTATGTATTTAGGCTAAACTATATTCTGCTACATTTTTTAGTGAACATAACCCAAGTCAGTGTTTATTTTTTAGCCTGCAGGAAAGTTATAGAATCTACAAACTATGGGATATACAAGTGAAACTCGAAAAATGAGAATATGGTGCAAAAGTTCATTTATTTCAGGGCAGCAACTTAAAAGGTGAAACTAATATATGAGACTCATTACATGCAAAGCAAGATAGTTCAAGCCGTGATTTGTCATCATTGTGATGATTATGGCTTACAGCTCATTAAAGCCCCAAATCCACAATCTCAGAAAATGAGAATCTTGTGAAAAGGTGGAATATTCTCGGCTCAAAGTGTCCCACTCTAATCAGCTCATTCAGCCATAACACCTGCAAAGGGTTCCTGAGCCTTTAAATGGTCTCTCAGTCTGGTTCAGTAGGAATCACAATCATGGGAAAGACTGATGACCTGACACCATCATTGACACCCTCCATAAGGAGGGAAAGCCTCAAAAGGTAATTGCAGAAGAAGTTGGATGTTCCCAAAGTGCTGTATCAAAGCACATTAATAGGAAGTTATGTGGAAGGGAAAATTGTGGAAGAGAAAGGTGCACAAGCAGCAGGGATGACCGCAGCCTGGAGAGGATTGTCAGGAAAAGGCCATTCAAAAGTGTTGGGGACTTTCACAAGGAGTGGACTGAGGCTGGAGTCAATGCATCAAGAGCCACCACACACAGACCGATCCTAGACATGGGCTTCAAATGTCGTATAAGAAGCGTCTTACCTGGGCTAAAGTAAAACAAACCTGGTCTGTTTCTCAGTGGTCCAAAGTCCTCTTTTCTGATGAGAGCAAATTTTGCATCTCATTTGGAAACCAAGGACCCCGAGTATGGAGGAAGAATGGAGAGGCCCAAGGACCCTGAGTATAGAGGAAAAATGGAGAGGCCCAAGGACCCCGAGTATGGAGGAAGAATGGAGAGGCACACACTGCAAGATGCTTGAAGTCCAGTGTGAAGTTTCCACAGTCTGTGTTGATTTGGGGAGCCATGTCATCTGCTGGTGTTGGTCCACTGTGCTTCATTAAGTCCGGTATTCTGACTCAGATTGTTGTGATAGCGATTTATCCCTTGTGAGACCTCTCTGCCTAGCCGTATAAGCAGATATAATCACTGTGGACAATCCTTATCAGATAGCTGAACTCACCACTACTGTGTTCATCCAGAAGTTGCTTTATTCTGTACATGTGACAACAGGATACAGCAGAATGAATGGTTTTCAGTATTATGCGGTCAAAAGATGATACTTTCTGTAGCGTACTATGCAGAATACATGTGTCCCTGTTACATGTGGACTGTTAGCTGCCTCCATGACACAGGAAGTGCTGTACTCAAGAAGAAGGGAGGAGCTTCATATACAAAGGAACTGTGTCATAGATCTCAGGGAAGCAACATGAAAAACAAATGCATTACCAAATAAGGCCACTGGATGGCAGCATATAACTAACTATAGAAATGTCCATAGGAAATGGTACAAAGAATAAACTATATGAATTCTCATGTACATTAACATAAATTTTAACTGTGTAACAGCATACTCCCCGTCTGGCATTGTAAATGTCACTATTTAAACCATAACGGTAGTTATACAATTGCAAATAAACAACGGTGCAATTTGCTTGATGTCTGGAAGACCTGAAAGACATAAAAAAGAGAACATGCATATAGTGCAACAATTATAACGAAAGGCTTCAAGTTGTATCAATTAAAGTTCAAGACACTTCCTTCTTGAAGTCACAGGTTGGATCCAGCAGCATACGCAAGCAAGTTCATTCTCCAAAGGGTAAGAGCAGAACAAGTTCCGTGATAGGTCTGCTGAAAGTCTTTACAGTTCCTTGTCTTGCAACTTTCACCTCCACCTTGCGTACCTTGCCGTCCTCACTAGGAATGCTCTTTACAATGAGTCCCATAGGCCACTCGATTCTTTCAGCTTGCTGGTCCTTCAGCAGAACAAGATCTCCAACTTTGCTGTCTGTGTAGAATTTGGTGTCATCCATCTGAGTGTCCAACTCGCGCAGTATGAAATCGGCAATTTCTACAGTTAGCACAGTTCCACAAAGTTCAAGCCTAGGAATTGTGTGCTCAGGCTTAGGTGCTAACTTAGCTTTCCCAAACAGAAACCCTATGTGGGTTTGATTAGAGTCTATTACCTTGAGGTAGGCAACAGCTGCTATGGCCTCAGTAGATGCATCTGAGAAGATGTGAAGCTCTTTTCTCTGACTTGTAGCAAGGGAAGCTGAGGTGTAACAGCGTGGTATACTGACTCCATCTAAGGCATGTAGAGATTGTTTCCAGGACTCCCACTTGGAAGCTTGTCTGTAGGCAGCGGAGCATCCCAATCTTTAATAGACTCTGAGAACTGTCTAAGTAAGGCTTTACCTTGTATGGTGATGGGAGCCACAAATCCCAATGGATCGTATAAGCTGTTCACCACTGACAGAACACCACGCTTGGTAAATGGTTTGTCTGCAGAGCCAACTTGAAAGCCGAAGGTATCTTTTAATAAGTCCCACCGTAGGCCCAGACTTCTCTGTACATGTGGCATGTCCATCCCAAGATTTAAATCTTTAAACCCAGTGGCATGCTCGCCAGGTTGAAAGACTTTCATAACAGCGACACTATTCGAGGCAATCTTGTGTAATCTGAGGTTAGCCTCGGAAAGCATACCTTGTGTCCTTTGGAGCAGGTCTATGGCTTCTTCATCTGTAGGTAAAGACTTAAGTCCATCGTCAACATAAAAGTCTCTCTCAACGAAGTGTCGAGCATCCGCACCATACTCCTTTTCTCCATCAAGGGCAGTCCTTCGTAAACCATATGTTGCAACAGCGGGTGAGGGACTATTTTCAAAAACATGTACCTTCATGCGGTATTCAATGATCTCATTGTCCATGTTGTTGTTACGGTGCCACAGAAACCTTAGGAGGTTCCTATGGTCTTCACGTACAATGAAGCAATGAAACATTTGCTCAATATCAGCAGTTATGGCAACTGGTTCTCTTCTAAATCTCATAAGTATACCTACAAGGTTGTTGGTTAGATTCGGGCCAGTGAGAAGAACATCGTTCAGGGATACGCCTTGATGCTTGGCACTGGAGTCAAATACTACCCTGATTTGTTTTGGCTTACGTGGATGATACCCTCCAAAGAAAGGCAGGGACCAGCACTCATCGTGTCTTTGAAGTGGTGGTGCTGGTTCAGCGTGATCATTGTCAAAGATCCTTTTCATAAAAGCGATGAAATGTTCCTTCATTTCAGGCCTGTTCTTTAGTGTTCGTTGAACCGAGTTGAATCTAGATAGAGCCTGTTCACGATTGGTTGGGAGTGTGGCCCTTGCAGCACAAAGAGGTAATGGTGCGATCCAGCTGTTAGACTCATCCTGGAAGAATTCTTCATCCATTATTTTGATGAACTCTCTATCTTCGACTGACAAGGCTATTTTGTTGTCATCATTTGTAGTACAAAACACTGTGGTACCTAGGCTGTCATCACAAAGAACAGGAGTAACATCAGGTACTTGGATGATGTCAAGAGGCTTCTCCTTTACTTCATAATGGTGAGGGCACTGTTTGAAGTGGGATGTACGTCCATTTCCCAACATGTAAGTTTTGAAGGAGTGGATCTCAGATGACATTCTGTCCAGGTATACATCGCCCACTATTACCCAGCCTAGGTCAAGTCTTTGTGCATAAGGGGCATCGTTAGGTCCATCGCATTGGTCGCGTACTTTATGTACTCTGAGAATGTCTCTTCCTAGCAGGACCAAGATTTCAGCACTCTTGTCCATTGCAGGAATCTCATCAGCAAGGTGCCTTAAGTGAGGATGATGATATGCAGCTTCTGGAGTAGGAATCTCTCCTCTTTCGTCTGGTATCTGATAACACTCAACTAATGTTGGGAGGG